ATAGATATAAGTAACCGTATAACACATTAATGGGCATTATTGCAACCAGACTGAGGTGCCCCTTGCATGCTGGTACTGAGTTTTCAATGTGTACAATTTCAGCATTAGGACAGTGACTCAAAAGAGGAGAGCGGGATTTATCAAGCTATTTAAAAGAAATGTGTGTTTTTACAACATAGCAAGACGTTGTATTGGCTGACCCTGGAAGAAGAAGTTAAAAGTCTGGTATTTCCTAAAATATAATGCTGAACACCTATTAGTGGAGCCAGTCAGGTGTCATAGGGGTGGCCAGGCAGGAATCTATCAGCACGGAAAACATGTAGACACCTGAACAAGATCAGGGCCAATCTACACTGTAAAGGCAAGAAAATGAAAAAATAAAATATCTGTATTTTCCAAAATGAAAACAGGGACAGACTAGAATTTACTAAAGGCTTGCAAATAAATACACACACATAATTACACATGCATGCTCTCTAAATTAAAGGTAGAGTGAACAATCTTCTTTTGACTTCAAGTTCAGGGTGATAAACTTATCTATTGGTTGTCTTACATGCTAGAGACTTCTAATGTTTATGTATCTAGTTAGCTTTGGTTGTAGCTCCACCACTCTTATCCTTTACCTACCTTTTAATCAATTTTGTTTCGGTATAATACATTAAATGGGTTTAGTTTTTATTTATCACAAATTTTATAGTGGAATTTTAGTGGCTTACAGACACACATTCCTTTGCCTTGTCTGCCCTAAAACAGGAAAACTAGCTTCGAAAAAAGCAGGAATTCTGTATTGGTCATCTTTAATGTTTCTCTCTTGATTTGGCTAGTTACTTAATGTATTTTTGTTGTACTTTTATGTTTAACATAGTAACAAAAATTTTAAATTTGTTGGATATTCCACTTAAGAGTTTTACTGCTGTTCCCCTCTATTTTAGAGGTGAACTGTTTGCTAAGTATCAAACTGGAACACAAATATGTGTTGTCTCTGCGAAGTGCTTTAAGATGACATGTGTTATAAATTGGCACTATATAAATAAACCGAACTGAAATTAATTGAATTGAACTGACATGATGTACATGGGCCCCCAATCTAGCCCAACCATATAAACGCCACAATAATTTGGTCTGTTTTGAAAGCCATATATAAATATTGCTTATTTTTAAATTTAGCATTTTCAAGAAAAAGAAAAAGGAATCGAGCAGCCTGGTAAACTAGCCCCACCGCCAGCGGCCAAAATTATTTTTGCCTGCAAGTTGGTCTAGCCTCCATCAAGGCCCTAAATCTGGCGGGCCAATTACAACGTAGAGATGTGTTTTAAATGTCTGGATGCAAAGCGGGCGGGGTTTTGAGGGCCTGACGACAAAGCTGTGCGATGCTAGAGAAAACACAACAGTAGCATGCACTGGGACAGCAGCTTTCAATGGAGTGCTCCATTGAAAGTTAAAAGTTCTCTTTTCTGTTGTTCAATAAAAGTGCATTTTAGGATCATTTGAGGCAACAATATTATACTTTATAGCATCACTATATGGTCTATTTACTGATTTAATGCGTAATTAAAAAAACTATTTCTGAAGTTGAGAGGACCGCGGCAACCAGCGGAGCTCCGAGTCTAACGGCATCCAGGGCTAACCGCAGCCCGTCTGCCGCGGCCCTCTAGTGGCATAGTCATGTGTGAAGGATCGTTGGCTCTGATGGCGATTTTTGACTCAGCTTTGGAATATTTTTGGAAGGATTAGACTTGGGTTTTTTTCGTTGAAACGTGAGCAGGAAGAGGCTCTACGCTCATTCATTTTTTAGGAGGACGTATTCGCCGTTTTAACGAGAGGCTGTTTGTTTACACTCCCCCACCAGCTTCCTGTCGGACCAGTCAGTTGTGCTCATTGGTCAGAGTGTTTGCCAATAGGCACAGACAGCCGTTTAAAAGAGAACGGGTTCTTTTTATCAACAATCTTCCGATGTCTCATTCATCAGGGCCAGACTGCATTACACATTTAATCTCACATTTAGTCTGGTTTTATCAGGCTAGGAATCAAGTTGAATTTACAAAAACTAGAGAACATATATCAGCAGAACAATTAGTTCTACATTATCTGAGGCCATTCTGTAGAAACTTCGGTTGACAATTAAGTCTTATTGAAATTGAAGGAAAGTGCAGTCCAAAGGGAAAAGGTATTTTGAATTCCACATTACTTTGTGTAAAAACAAAAAACAAGCAGTAAAAAAGCCTATTTGTTGAAATCACTAAAGTTAAAAACTCATGACTAACATGCAAGGAAGCTGAAATCTTACTTTGGCCCCCAACATGATTTCTGCAAGTCCTTTCAGGATATTGACACGGAGAGTTTACAAAGAATGCCCATCATGTTTATTAAACTTCTCTGACTTGTAGAACACGATTGACTCAGTTGCAAAAAACTCAGCACCTACCCAGACCTTTGATGAAGCTGAATACGTTGGCCTTACTAAAGCAAACTGCCACACTGTCCATTCTGCTCAAAGAGGACATGGTATCTAGAATTCTCCTGATTCGTGACAAATGCTAGCAGAATCCACCAACTTCCATGTCCTGTGTGTCAGTTTGCTGTGGTCTCCTGGGTATAGTTTCCATGGTGCAAAACTTGCAACAGTGTGCGTGTTTAAAAAAGAGAGAGAAGCATTTGGAATGAGAGAGAACGCTCAGCATCAGCCTCCTACTGTAGATTTGTCTCTCTCTTTCTCTCTGAGCTCCCTCTGAGATGGCTTTCCCCAGCCTTGTGACCAGCCAGTGCCTTCCAAGTTTGAAGGTCAGGCGGGAATTTTTAGCTGCACAGAGATGAGGTACAGCATGCTATGGTGGCATAACTGTGTGGCTATATTTATCCAGGCATAAACACTATACTTACAAAGCAGCCCTCCCCTTGCTTCCACATCTGTGATTGCAGAAAGCAAGAGGCACAGACCAGCGCAGTGTAAACACCATTCTTCATCAGGCCAAATTCACCACTAGTCCCTTAAAATATATGCTGATAATGTTTTGTAAAAACATACTCACATACATAAAGGAAATGATTTCAGGCAACAGGAATGGATTGTCTCTGCCAAACACATGTGCAGCAAAATAAAATCAGCATTAAGTTCTATTAAAAAATTCCAAAGCTAATTATTTTAATTTGGGTTAAGGGGTAAAAAGAAAAAATAAGTTTGAATTGTAGGTCCTGTTCTGCTGCTCTGAGTTCTGTACAAAGTCTGAAACAGGACATGTGACTCTGCAAACAAGGAGCTCGGCCACAGCATACATTACATCATCGACAAGCTGGAAACACCCTGAGGATGGTGTTGATTCTCAGAAAAGAAAACAATGCAAACATGACAATTAGTGCTTTGTTAGCACATATCCACAAATACACGTAGTGCAAATGAAATAATGTAGTCTTACTGTAAGACTCGTCTTCCTCAAGTAAAGCAGATATTTACAGGTGTTTGGAAATATGTGGGTGGAAATTTAGACACCCCTGACATCTTAAACTGGATGACAAATCCAAGTAAAAGATAAGCCAACGAGAGGGCTTTGTTCAGGCTCTGTAGACTCAGCTTTTTCATGTTTTTGTCTTTTTTAATGTTGTAAATTCCTGTATACATTATCTGTCTGTCTGTCTGTCTGTCTGTCTGTCTGTCTGTCTGTCTGAAAGTGACATACAGTTACCCCAAAATTCTACTCAAGCAGATTTAAATTTCATGTGAATAAGTTCTCTTTGTAAGCACTTATCAAATACATGTAAAATGTAAAATAAGTATTTACTTAAAAAAATGAAATATTGAAAGCTATGGGATTTTAAATAATTCTTGGAAAAGCAATTAAAACCACATGATTTCGGGACAGCTTCTTGCATGATTACACTGAAATTTTAATGAATTGTCTTTTCTGATGAGCTCCAAGTGGTTTCAGATTGGAAGGCCGTCTTTGTCATAACCTTAATCATTATCAGGACATTTCCAAAAGGTGAATATACGTTTCAGTCAGAATAAACATGAAAATGTAACTTAAAATCTATATCTGCCCGAGGGACGAAAAATTTGGGCCACATATTCTATCGTAAAGTGAAACAAAAGGTACATAGTTTCAAAGAACTAATTACAGCTGCAATTACAAGTGCATGTCCTTTAGGGTATATCTCTATCTTTGCTAATTATATGTTTCTTCTTTTTAGAAAAGGCTCAGCATGAGTCAGCTTAGCCAAAGAGCCCTTAAACAACTGTTTTCAGGTTTCACCAGAACTCCACAAGGAATTTCTGTCTGGACTTTGACTGACCCTTGGAACACTTGAATTTGAATTAAGCCATTTTATTGTAGCACTTGCTAAAACGTTTTGTCCTGCTTAAAGCCGAGCCTTTGGCGTCCCGGGTTGTTTGCTGCCTTTTGAAACTCAGGGTCTCATTTCAGCACCACCAACTCTGTTCCCATCAGCTCTTAAGAAAATCATGCAACATCATGATGTTGGCAACATAATTTTTCATCATGTTGGATAGATAATTAACGGTCGCACCATATCCCACAATTCTTTTGTCTCCTGCATAACTTGCTGCAAACTGCCACCAGGACGCATTCTGGCTTTGTTTCCACTATGGCTTTTGTTCTTGGTACTCTTCTATGTATAGAAGATTTGTGAATTTTTTATCTGAGCTGCAGATCTCTGCACCTATGGTTACCATGGCCTTATTGCTGCCTACTCACTCTACTCTACTTGCCTGGGCTATCATTTTAGATTGATTTCCATGTCTTAAGAGGTTTGCATTTCAGCCACATTGTTTCCATAGTTGATTGATTTATTGAAAGTCTCTCCCAGATATTTAAAGTTTGTGAAAGCGTTTTAGCGTTTTTGTCTCTTCTTTTTTTATGGTTTTGTGTGTTCAGTAATGTTCTATACCAAACCTTCAAGCCCCCTGGAAAACACCAGTATTTATACTGAAATGGAATTAAACATTTATTTACTAATAATGTATTTGGTTGTAATGAGTTCCATTTGGGGGAAGCAAAGCACAGAGGTGAATATGGCGGCATAATACACTTCAATCTTTATTTGTTAAAGGTATAGAGAAGAATGTTATTTTTCCATGCGGATCATCAAAATAAGTGGTCATCCTAATTGTCAGTCATTCTGGTGATATGTTCACACAAGGTCGTCCTACGTGTTCATCCTTATCTTTTCTGCACATACGCACTTTCAGGTGTATATGTGTGGTGAGCTACGGTTTTAATCAGTCATTGACGCTCGCCTTTCTCTGCCTTTCGCCGGGCAAAAAATATTTTTATAAAATAAAATAAAACTCTTGCTAGACAACAGTTTGTTTATTGCCCTGTAGCATGATAAAGATAGCTATAACTTTAGCTGATGTTAGCTATAACTCGAGCGTGCATGAGGACAAATGGGCTTGTGCATGCTCTTGCACACGTTTAATAGGCGTTCCCTCTTGAGAGCAGGTATAGGGTTGTGCATGTGCATGTTTTTTATTGGAGTGGATGGCTCTTTCCAAAAATTCGGGAAAATCCTCCCCTATACCTTTAAATAAAAGATATCCTTTGGTTTCCCTACACTGCATTATATCATTTGATTGATAAATAATATACATTAAAGGTTGTAGTTGGAACATAAGAAAAGATATGTTGAAACATGTTTCCAAAGCACTGTATTATTTTTGTAGGAAAAATTGTAGGAAAACACAGAACCTGCTAAGTATCTAGATGGGCCACATATGCTTAACATTTGTAAGGAATGTTATACATCATTTAAACTCATAATATGTCCACAACTCCTCTTGTTAGAATGGATTCTGTAGATAAAGAAAAATTTGTTTAATTTATACCGTCCCTGTTAAAGGATCTCTAAAAACATAGTTGGAAGGTATAGCTAGTGAAACATCAACAATCAAAAACAAATACTGGTAGAAGTTTAGAGTTCAGGTTTAAAGACCAGGAGAATTAAATGTTCAGTGGAAAGCAGATTAAATTGATGTGCTAATCTATTGACTTTTAGCAGGGCTTCCATGAGCCGACATGCTGAGAGTGGTTGCCTACTGTGAGAGATCATTTCAGTCCATCATTATGTAAGTGAGCAATAGTTTAAAAGCCTACATTTGACTTCAGCAGAATAGCTTCCACTTTGCTGAAAAAACAGAAAAATAAAGATTCTAAGCAAGTTTGACAATAATCCTAAATTATAACGGCCTTTAATAGATAGAATAAATAAATACAAATTATAGCAGAGAATTCACCATATCTAAACAAAGTGTTTACATTTTGGAGGAGTATCACTGTAGCTCATCCCATTGGCCATTGATCGGTTAAAAAAGCCCTGAGTTTCTGGTAGTGTGGATACCAAACCTGACACAGTAGCTGGACAATACCAGCTCTGTGCTGCTGTCTGTCACCGTTTTATCAGAGCTGAACACGCTGACTTATTAAATACCCCTATTCAAAGGGTTTGGAGAATCTAACCCTCATAGTGAGAACAGTATCTCACCAACAGCAGAAATCAAATTTGATAGGATCAATTTTAAAAGTAAAGATGCAAACAAAAAAACCTTTATACTGTTTTCTTCTGTAAAAGTATTAAGCTTGTTGAATTTATATATTTACACACTCATAACTTCTCCCATTTTGTAAGCAGTTGTATAACACCTCGTAAAGACAGATGTTTACTAAAATTATTATATTGTAATGCACAGCTAAGCTTGAGCCTTTTTCACTGTACCGAAGTGACACAGTGTGAGAGTTATGCAATATCAACAATAGATGGCTCAATGTTAAACATGTGGAGAAGGACACCTTATTTAATTGTTTTACCTTATTTTATTTACAAGCTAATACAAGGGAAATATAAAAGTGAGGCTGTTGAATGTCTTATTGAACATTTTGGTGTGGATTTTTTTTTAATAATGTTCAAGTATGCTGCAGCTTTTTAAAACAATGCTGAAATTAGTTGCAATATCCTCACAATATTTTATTGTTGCTGATGGCATTACATATAACTGTTTCATATAACTTTTAGGAGAATATTGCACTGATCCAGTACAGAAAGACATTCCATCTCTGCCTTCTGGCTTGAATAGTGGGCAGTGAAGCTGTTAGCTCTGGACAGAACATGCAACCAAGCTGAACCCCTTCTAATCCTATTACTGCAACCTTGCATTAAATAAAGAGCTATTTGGACTCAGACAAATGACTGGACAAAAACACTCCTAAAGTTTATGAAGAATCAGCACAAAAATTCCATCAGCAAAATGTAATCAAACAGAAAAAAAAGCATATTTTTTATTGTATTTCTTGCTCTAAGCAAACATTTAGATGCTGTTTATAAAAATAAAAATATGGCAAAAGTAGTTTTCAAAGTTTGCAGCACTAACATTTTAGATTCATTTAATCCCTAGGAAGCAAAAGCATCTCCTGATAAGAGACAGCAACATTGCAGCAGAGTTGCAGCCTCAGTCAGTCATCTCTATTTGCTGACCACAATAACAAGACAAGCTGCTACTCACTTCCACTCAATGATTTCAACAGGGACTTGATGCTGATTTCAAAGAAGCCCGAGTCCTGCTGGCTGGTCATGGTTGCAGCCTCCTGCCCTAGCCTTTAACTGGGCTTTCTCTTCAGTATCAGCAGCAGCAGAGGCGTTTGAGCTGGGACCAGTGTGGCTGTCACCACTCTGTGACGCACACAGTGCTGTGCTGATGAGATCCAGAGACAACACTACAGCACTGCTTTACTTTCCCCTCCTATCTGGTCCTGTCCTTGGCTATAAGTCCCGTTACTCACCCCCCTCCCTCCACACTCTCGCAACATCGCTCTGTCCCTCTAAAGCTTTGGCAGGCTGTGGGTGGCAACGCAAGCTGCCTTTAAATAACTGCGCGGAGGCTGAGGGTGCAGGAAGCAATCCTCTTAGTGGAGCGCAGTTAATAATAACTACTGTTTTCTCTCGGCACAGAGATGACAGCAATGTATTTGGGTATTATAACATGACTGTCCCAATCACACAAGTCATCTGATTGACTGAAGAAACTGAGCAAAGTGAGAAAATACAGTATCAAAAGAAACACATGACCATAAACTCATTTAATTCAAAACATTCTGCTAATATGCTTTAAACAAGAGAGACATGTAGGTCTTCAACCATACAGTATATATCTTTATAACACAATAGTTCAAGAAATGATCTACAGTTTGTTTGAATTACAGATATTTTGTAAAACGAATTGTAATTAGTTTTTACCACTTAAGCAATTCAAGTTCTTTTCAACTAATCATTATCTTAAAGCTGCATCATCAAATTTAGATTTTTGGGGTGTGGTGATCTGATCCTGGTGTGTTAATTCTAAATATCCAACCCAGAAATCCTTTAATTGATAATCTAGTATTGTTATTAGTGGGGCCCATGTTAAGGTAATGTAAAGAGCTCCTAAATCTGGTTAGAAAGTCTCTCCATAATGGTCATCAGACTGCTTGCTCACTGACAGCAGGCTTCTCTAACACCATCCATAGTCCATAATAATTCTACCCTGAGCTGATGGAGTAATCACTGATATTGTAATCAAGGAGAATGTTACGGGCTGCTTAGTGGGTAGCACTGCTGCCTTGCAGCAAGAAGGTTCTGGGTTCAATTACCAGCCCGGGGTCTTTCTGCATGCAGTTTGCATGTTCTCCCTGAGAATGTGTGGGTTCTCTCCGGGTACTCCAGCTTCCTCCCACAGTCCAAAAACAGGTTAAAAACAGGTTAATTGGCTTTTCTAAAATTCTCCTTAGGTGTGAGTGTGTGCATGAATAGTTGCTTGTCTCTGTGTTGCCCTGTGATGGACTGGTGTACCCGCCTCTCGCCCATTGACAGCTGGAGATAGGCACCAGCACCTCTTGTGACCCCACTCGGGATTAAGCGTGTTTGAAAATTGATGGATGGATGGAGAAATATTGAACCAAAACACACTGTACATGTGCTGTCATTGCAATGTTTCAGACCTTTTAGGTCTTGAGGGTTGAATCTGTTCAGTATCCACAGAATGAGACCAAAAGCTGGAGAAAGCCTTAATTCATTTAAATCAAGATGTAAAACAGCAGTTTATTTAGAGTTGACTGTGACTGTTTTATTTAAATGATTAAAAAGAAATATCCTCCTTACGTATCAGATTTAACTTCTTACTGTCAAACTTTTTATTCTTTGTTTTTTTTTTTTTTGCAAAGCCTGAGATTATTGTTTTTACTCCTGTTATTATATTCTATTAATTGTGTTTTGCAACTCTCAGTTATTATTGCTATTTTTCTTGTTTTTTAAATGTAACTGATTACTTTCAGTACTTAGTCCAGCTTTTCTTCCAGCCATTATAATGTGACTGCAGTTTACTTTTTTAGTTATTTTTTTTTTTTTTGTAAAGGACCTTAAATTGTCCTGTTAATAAAATTCACCATAAAAATGTACTTTCCCTTCTATGCCTATATTTTCTAAGATTGAAGATAATCTTTATTCATTTACATGTTAATGGGTAATATTTTTCCTGGCTAAGAGTTTCAACTATAGACTAAAATAGATCAAAAACACAACCTTAATGATGAAAATTGTGCTGCAAAAACAAAAAGTTGTACTTTCTTTTAGAACAATTTAAAAACACTAAAATAAAAAACAGGCCATGTCTTTTTTAACTGATTGAGAAAGAGATATTTTCTAATAATATTATTTAAGAAATGAAAGCAGGTGTTTTCAACAAAATGGAAGGGGAACACATCCTTAAACCCTTTCCATGCTGCCTCCCAGCGCTCTTAGAGTAATCCTATCAGAGCTCTGTCTGTCCATCAAGTGACAGACATTTGACCTTGATTATATAACGCTCTGTGACGTAGAAGCTTTTACTGAGGCCGGAGCTGTTTGGTAAACACACATTACTTTATTCCATTTCCAGGATTTTTGTAAATAAAGCACAGTAAGCCTCTTTGCAAAGGAACAGAACACATACAGTATAGTTTTCTTCTATATATTTATTTCTCAAGAGATGCACTAATCATGGTTTTACTGAATGATCCTGATTTGTACTGATTTGTGAGGTTCTCACTTTGCAATCAATGATTCCCCAACATATAAAGACATTTGTACAAAAATACTGTCTCTTTGTGCTGCGATTAGAACTGGTAGCAACCTCAGTTTGTAGAAGTAGTTCACTATAAAGGTGTCAGAGGTTTTCTATATCTAAATATAAATAGAGGAGATGTGGACATATTTTGGCAATCTGAGGATAAAATTCTTAATTGGATATATGGCAGGCACATTTTTGAATTTGCTACTTTTATTTGTAAAGCTTGGGATAGAAGATAATGAGAGCTGCATCCTTTTTAAGTATAAACATTTAAAGTTGTGTTGACATTTTAGCAATGCCTCTGATTTGCATTTCATAATTTCTTTTTTTTTGTATGTTTCATTCTGTAAATCTAGTATATAATAATATATATAGTACATAACAATATTGCTAGTAGTTAAACATTTAGGGTTTTTGATGAGTTTTATTTACTTCAGTCTTCATGGGCCATTTAGATGGGGCCTTGGAATAAACACATCTTAATTAAATGCCTAAATTACTTCCTCAGTCTGCAATCAATGTCTCTATAGACCTTTTAATCATCTAATTACTTCATTCAGGTGTGTTGGACCTAGAACACATCTAAAACTTGCAGCATAGCGGCCCACAGGGGCTGGAATTGCCCACCCAAATCCAACAGAAATGAAGGGACTCATCTTAAAAGATGCTTGGTTATATTATACTTAAAAGATGCTTTGGTTATATTCTGGTAAGTTAATGTAAAGATCATATAAGTACACATAAACTTTAATGTCATATTAGTGTTTAAACCCTTAGTCAAATAAAGCTTGTTTTTGCTTTATAAACAACACCTAAAAACTCGCTTATCACTCAATCCCAGAGGGTTGAGATGAAATTGACTAAAGGTTATTGATTTCTGATTAAGTAAATTCTTTGATAAAATATTATTTTACCACATAATGTTTTATACACCTCTTGGATTTGCAGTGTGATGGTTGGAACACATTCCAATTACACTGAATTAGTTAAAAGCTAATTGGACCTTATTTTAAATTCTACGAGATAAAACTTTGGTTCTCAAAAATGATATCCATGCCAAGCTTTGATATCAATGCATCACATTATTGATTGTGGTTTTCAGCCATTTGTTTTTACTTCTTTTTTTTTTTATCATAGTAGTTTACTTTAGTTGAATTTCACTAGTTTTTAACTGAAATATATGTGACTTGGAGTTGAATGATTTTTGTTGATAAATTCTTAGAATTATCAACAAGTTGTGGTGAATTTATCCCATATATGTGCAGAGTAATCTGTTTGACCATGATGTAAGCTCCATTCACGCTTTCATTTGATGTTGGCAGTGCAAATATTGTCTGCCATCCACTCCCCGGGTGGGCATCAGATATATAATTATTGCACAACAAAATGAAGAATCTGGTAAATATAACAGATTTGAAAGGTGTTTTTTAAAATCGCCAATCTCTTATAATACTTAACAACAGTCTGTTATTAAGCTATTTGAAACATGTTTGTGAGCAACATGCTTGGCAAGCTAAGCAGTCTATCTTTGCAGTGTTTGTTTATCAAAAACCTATTTTAATGTAAAATTTGGGTGAAAACCTGCATTTTAGGCCTTAGACTTTGTTCAAATTTAAAATCTGTTTTTGTTTTTAATAACCTTTGCTGTTTCTTGCTCTTGCTCTTGCTCTCAATGTTAATAGTTAAACAGAAACTTCCTTCCTAAAATTAAACTTTTTAATACTTTTTAAATATTTTGTCGAAAGGAATTAATTGGAATAGCATCATATGTTAAAAGCAAACTTTTCAAAGACAAACATTAGCCTAAAAAATGGTAAACATTAGCCTAGCCCTTCAACTACCTATTCCAGATAACCAAACCTATTCAACAGGATGAATTTGTAAGTTTATTGAAGATTGCAGCTTCACATATAGCCTCAGAAATATCTAGCAACTTATAAAGCTATTGCATTTTTCTTCAGAACGACGTTCTATCAGTGAGTGTGTGTAGTACTGGTTAAATACAGTAAGTCCAGGCTTTCTGCACTAAAATGCTGCTGGGATTATAGTTTTAAATATGGCATACATTTTTATTAAGTTAAAGAAGTCATGGATTGGGACTTGTTTTCAAAATATTACTAAACTTAAATGACGGATTTATTGGATGTACAATATCAAAGTGAATAAAACTGAAAGGTCACCAAATTCATATATCAACACAAAGATTGGTTATTCTTTGGCATTATTGTTTGCATATACTGTGAATTATCAATGCATTCAACTGAATAAATGAGAAAAGTTGTTGGATAGCCATTAATTAGAATTTCAGTTTACTCCTAAATCTATTATTATGCAAGTCAAGTTCAACAATAACTACAAGTTATAGTATAGTATAGTACAGTATTTGCAAAACACACAACTGATGCATACATTTTCTCAAATTAAGCATATTCTAAAGCAAGTTAATCCTGCAACTATTCAATATTTTGAACATGGGTTTGTTGGGGAAAAAGGTTGACTTTGCTCTAAAGTTGAAGATGAGGCTTCTTTTTTTTCACTGAACATATTTTACCAATAATCAGCAAATGTTTTACTTATTATGATTAATGAAGGAAATAGTTTGTTGGATTTAATTAACACTAAACATGATTGACTCTA